AACTCATCCAGAAGCCAGGCTCATGGCTGGTGAGCGCAGCAGCAGTGACAGGAGCCTCCCTCACCTCCACAGCAGCACTAAGAATGTCCAAATGCTATGGGGAGTGGGCCTAAGCTGTCAGTCGGACATTGCCCGAGGGTTCCTGGACTGAGAGTGTGTGCAGGCCGGGCTTAGGGACCCCCCTCCTTCTCCGAGCACATGAATTTCATGCACCAGGTCTTTAGTATTAAGTAAGCTGCTCATAATACTAATCTATAATAATAAAAAGGTAATATGCTAATTAGACCAGATGCCATTCCAGTTGTCCTGCTGGATGAAGCCAGAGCCGGAGGGAAGCCCAGGGAAGAAAGGACTACTCTTGCATGAATTTTGTGAATTGGGCTTCTAGTTCCAATAATAATTATGGTCTGTTAATACAGTGTAAGTAGAATAAAAATTATAAGGAATACCACATAATAGCCTGTTAGAAAAAATATTTAAATTTCAAGAGGAATAGATGTATATTTTCATGAATATTGGGCCCTCCATGGAGGGTCAAAGACACATAGTTGAGTTAATGGAAATCTCATTTCACCACTTGATCAAATGGAAACAAATTAAAGTATAAAATGTTGATGCTGATGCTATTTCTTATTTATCTAAGTGAATTTTAAAGCAGACTTAGCAAATTTTGTTCTTTAATATATCAGTCTGAAATACTATCATAATAGTCAAATTTGTAATTAAAACTGGTAAGGAAAGAATAACTTTCTAAAACTATCATTTTTATTCTAATAATTTGTCATTACTTTTTCCATTATAATACAGTACCATTATATGGTTCCTAGCTTAAGAGTTTCCTAAAATTATTTCTTAAATAAATAAATAAATAAAAAACACTGAAAGTTTCTCTTTGTTTCAAAGCAATTTATTGGCAAATTTCTAAAATCAAATTTGATTTTTTATATTTCTGCCCATCAATCTGGAAATAATGACAGCTCATAAGAAAAAAGCACATTATTTTTCACAATAAAACTTCTCAGAATACTATTCCTTCATCCCACTGTCTTCTATTTCATAACTTTCAACCAAATTATAAGTGAAATATATATACTAATATTTTACCACTCACTGTGCAGAAAAAAGTTAAGATTCTAATAATGTATATAATTACAAAGTCAAATATAAGAAGCAATATGCACGTCAGCCATAAAATGAATATTGAAAAAAGAAAATATAGGATATATAAAAAGATGAATATTCTAGATTAATCTAGAAAAAAAAGTACTCGCTTAGAGGAAAAGCAAGTAATATCAACATAGTTGTAATAAAAAAAATACAGTACTTGTAAAGTTTTAAAAAGCATAACTCCTGAAATTTCAGTTAACTAAAGTCCACTTACTTTTAATTTCCAATTATTAAAATCTAACTAAAATTATCAAAAACATTATATACAACTCTGCCATTAATCCACCAGCATGCTGTTTTTCTAAATGTCTGCATGTGGTGTCCCTCTCTGACCATAAACTCTTCTTACCATTTACAACACAGATCAGGTGTGAGGTGTGCTCTTCCCTTTGTACTCCCAAAATACCCTATGCTTGCCTTCTTCAGTAGCCTATGACTCCGTTAAGCAAAAACAATGTTTTATTTATCTTTAGCTCCAGATTGCTTAGGAAGTACACTTAGCACAGGAAAGGCATTCAAAACAGATTTGTTCTTTAATTAAATTTCATCAGTGATGGCCAAAACAACAGAATACTCAGATTAAGGTTAAATCAATGGCATAAACTGGTTTGTAACAAGAGGCTCTTCATCCCTATCTTAAAACTTTAGGTAGTCATACAAGTAAAAAACAAAACAAACAAACAAAAAAGAACAAAAAACAAAAACAAAAAAACCTACTTCACCAGTATTACAAACATAGAAACAAGAAAATAAATGCCTTGCCTGAATGAGTTGTTAATAAATATCTCTCAAGGTGAATTATCAATACACACTGAGGTGACCTCCCTCTTTCCAGTAAGTATTCTCCAAGATTTTCTTCTTCAAAATTATAACTCTCCAGAGCTTTTCTTTACCTCCTTGATTTTGCTTATTCCAGTCCTAGATGATGAATAATCCTCCAGGAGAAAGTTGTGGCAATAATAGGAGGCCCCAATTCAAAACAGAGGCAAAATTTTAAGAATAGCAAAATTATTCACACTCATAGTCTGATCTATTATTAAAGATACAGTATTTTGAAACAGAAAAGTCTTATTTAAAAGATATATTAAATGACCCAAGAAGTCTCCATACATCAAATATTTGGTATGGAGCTAACTATATCCTACACCGCAACTCTGTATTCCACCCATTAAATTCAATGAGTATCCCACTTACTACAAGTTACTAAAAATAACCAGTTAACACAATTTCTTATCCTAGGGACTGAGGTTAGGGAGGTTATTCTCTGACATTATGAGGATGAAGGTAATCTCTAAGTTAGAAGTAAAAGAAAAATGAGGGTTCAATTTTGGCATTATTCCTGCTTTCCTCCTCATAAGGGGCATTTTGCTTAAAATAGAGCTCACTTTAAATGGGAACAAAAAACAACAACAAAATATTTTAAAAATTAATGTTAAGGGACTATAACAAGTGATTCTGGGATTCTGGTAAGAGCAGTAAATGGTCACTAAAAGTAAACTCTCAAATTCCTAGTACTCATTTAGATGCCTAGTACCCCTTTAAAAAACTTCTATTTTCCTCATAACACTAATGAGAGTCTTAATTTAACCAAATAAAGTCTACTTTTTTTTTCAAACTTGAAAAATGAACATGGTAATGCCAAAACAAAGTGGACATTAAAAGTATATTCTTAAAAGAGCTCTGAAATAAAAGTTAAATTAACAAAGATCATCAAATAATGTTCAAAATAGCATTAAACTAAAAAAAAAGCATCAAATTGAAAGAATAGAAGTGTATTAAAGTAATTACTACCCCAAAGAGATCATCTTAAAATAACAGTTAAATTCACTAACTAGAAAATTATATTCAAATTCTTTAATAAAATAAGAGCCAAATGTTATTTAATACTTAATGAACTCCATTTGAGGGACTCCAGAACAAATCAATAACTTCTCAAGATCTTAGAAAAATCCAAGGCTTAAAACATATAAATATTTAGCAGGATAGCAATAACAAACACAACACTCCTTCCCCTCTATGAACACAACACTACCACCATTATCTCAACCCTGAACATCCAATTAAGCCCTGCAAATTTTCTCTAAAGAAAACTTCATGTAAAAACGCATTAACTTTTTAAAAGTCCAGACACTCAAATATTAATAGAAAGAATAAGCACATCAGATCATCGCCACAATGACATTAACTATATCCTTTACCTGCCATGTGGCATCATATGATCTGGCTGTCTACAGCACCTTAAGTGACTTAAATGACAACTGAAAGCCTGACATTTGTTTTTCAATCACAAATTCATAGGCCCCTGATCTCTGACTCTTCCACATCTTGAATTCTCTCTCTCCTTGTCCTCAGTTGCCTCTAACTCAACCTTCACTCATATTTCTAGACAATTACAATAAGAAATTTTCTGTTACTGTCTGTAGACAAGGCCTTAGACCTTGTATATTGCATCCAAGCCCATAGTTTAACTGAAAATTTTGGCTTTTATTTGGCTTATCTCTTTTCTCTAATGGTGAATAGAAACTGAAAAAATATATAAAACACAAATTACTTAAGTTTTTATTATAAAATTCTTTAATATAAAGTTGATAAAATCTAAAATAGATGACTATAAAGCAAACTGCCTGTGCCCTCTAAAGATTTCATTTATTGAAGTTTATTTTATTCCGAATTAACATAATCAAGCTGGGAATACTGTACCTGAACAGAGGTTTTCTTTGGGAACTAAAAGCTACAAGTTAACTATGGTCCTAGTACTCAAGAAAAAAAAATCACTTTAATATTAAATTAAAAGCTGATGAAAAAACCTCTGGTTTCATTTAACATCTGATCTTCTTTATGGGAGAACCAGATGGAGAAACCATGTCTAAATAAAAAATATGACATAAAATAAACTAAGGAGACTGTTTTAAGAATCATATTTAAGTTAAATTTGTAAGTGAGGATAGAAATAAAATATATTTCAGCATTACCATGTTGGATCAGATATAAGTATCCTGGGAAAATCTTGCTCAGCAACTAATTATCTATATTTGCTCCAAAAGAATAATTTGATCCATTTTTCTCTAAAAACCCTAATTTGATTTGCTACCCACCTAATTTTACATTTAACTTTGTCTTTATTAAAAGAAAAATGGAAGGTTTCTATTATGTACATTAATGGAAACCATACCTAATAATTTATTAATTTAAATGACTAAAATTACCAAATATTTCCAAAGAAATAATTAAGGACAGTACTGAAAAATTTCTTTGAAGGAACGTCTACATAAGTCCTAAATTTATGACCAGATCTCCAAATCAGAATCTCCTAAAAATATTTATAATACCATGGGCGTGGCTATAATGAATAAGCAAATCTAAATAATATAAAAAATTACTTTCCCCTTTGGTAATGTTTTTCTTTTACTATCTTAACAAATTTAAGGATATCAATTTTAAATAAATATAAGCTTCAGCAGTACAGTTCTGCAATCATATAACAAATCAATTTTAAGCTTAGCGAGTTTGACAACTGCAATAAAAAAACACACAATTATAATCCTTAGTAGGAAACTTTCCTTTTTACAGTTGACTTTCAAGAAACTACTACTCTTCTAATAAATAATATTTTGGGTACAAAGTCATCACCAACTGAAATATATAGTTGCAATTTGAAAAATGAAATAAACTGATGAGAAGGGAGTAGCTAACAAAACACTAAAAAACAGAAAGTAGGGAAATACCAGAGCAATATTACATCTCTTCCTTCACAATGCCAAATATTTATTTAGCATCTCTTCCTTCACAATGCCCAATATTTATTTAGCATATGGTCTTTCTTTTTTTGTGTGTGTCAGAGGGGAAATATGCTGAAGATGTAACAAGGTTTGTGGGAGGCACATCCTGCACAAGAGTGTAAGCACCCCATCATCATACTTATGGACTACAAAAGGATCCAAAGTCTTTCTTAACTATCCCACAAATGTTTTAGAAAAAGTTACTTTTATCAAAGCCTGAAATTAATGGTCATAAACATCTTTTAATTATGCTTTTTGTCTTTCATGAGTAATTTCCAGATTGGTGAGCATAAAGCTGTCTACAAATGACCCATCTGAAATGCCTCTGATTTTACCAACTTCCTACCCCTATTCCAAAAAAAATATTACTGGGTAGGCTTCATCAAAGAAATTGGTTTAAGTAACAAACTCTGTAACATATAGAAATTATTTCAAATTAGGATCAGTCATTACAAAACAATAAACTAATGAAACAGAATCATAAACTCTAAAGTAAATATGCAATGTTTTAAAAAACTAAATAGCCCTGGCTGGTGTGACTCACTCAGTTGGTTGAGCACCCTCCCATGCACCAACAGGTCTCTAATTCCATTCCCAATCAGGGCACATGCCAGGGTTGCTGGCTTGATTCTCGGTAAAGGATGTGTAGGAGACAACCAATGGATGTTTCTCTCTCATACCAATGTTTCTCTCTCTCTCCCTCTCACTTCCTCTCTCTCTAAAATCAATAAAAACATATTTTTTTTAAAATAAGCTAAACAGGATAAGTCTCTATAGGAAAAATCTCAAAAAAATTTACCTCAAATTCATAAAACTGAGATAAAATTTATGCTAAATACTCACCACTAAAGTTGAATTCAAAATAAATAGAAATTTATAAATAATCTATAATATTCCATATACTACAATATTATTTAAAGTATTTTCAAACTTACCCAAATGAAGTAATGTAAACTGGGCTGCCAGTTCCTTTGCATCTTCTAACGTAGTACAGAGCTTGTCTGGCATGAAGTAACTCTGGGATCCATTTGCAATAGCAGGAATAACGATTTTATATACCAAGAGGACTTTGCCATCTTGACTTGTTGTTGAATATAAATAATATTCTGGTGGTGCCCAATTATTTTTATTGCAGTAATAATCTAAATGCATTACTGCAGAATTGAAATGATTTGATTTTAAAGAATACATACTAATTGGAGTAAGCTTTGTTCCAGGAAAAAATGGGTAAGTGCATCTATCGATTTCAGAGGGGCCTGGGCTATGCTGACCATTGAGACGAGCTGGAAGAGCTGGTGGCTTGCCTAGAGTTTTTGGATGGCTCTCTTCTTTGTTAGCAAACACAATCAAATTTTCAGAATTGGGGCTAATCTGACCATTAAGATGCTGTCTCCAAGTATTTTCTTTATTTACTGGTTTTGCCAGTGTTACCTCAATACTTGCTCCATCAATGCACTTCCCATTCATAACAGACATAGCAGCCACTGCATCTTCTCGGTTGAAAAAATGAACAAAAGCATAATCTCTAAGTTTCTTTACTCTTTCAACTGCACCAGGTTTGAATTTATTGAATTCTGCTTTAATTGTTTCCTCTGCAGTTGAAATCATTAAATTTCTAACATAGAGAACTTTAACTCTCTGCATGGTTTCCTCATCAACCTCTTTCTCTGGGTCAGCCCAATCCACTTGAATGGTATGGCCCCATAGTTGGAATGTTCCTACAAAAAAGAATAAGTTAATCTGAAGACAATTAAAACACAAGTCAAATATTATTAAGTAAAACTGTTTCTCTAAAGAAGCGGAAACTCAAATACATATCGATATATTTGGTTAAGTATTACAGTTTCCCACTCACATGAAAATTTACTAGGGCAAACCTAATCAGAACTTATGGTAAAACTAATTTTAAGACTAAACAAAACAAATATACTTCAAAGAAAGATCAGTAGAAGAATCAGACATTGCTTTTGGATTTTTATCAAGCAACAATTAACTTATAAATATATCATCCATTAATCAGTAAATTATAAATGATTAATTTCATATAAACAACTCATTTGCTTACTAACTTAATCCTTATTCCTCTAAAGGCATTATGTATTTTCATAATATTGATCTATAAGGTACTGTCATTTCTTAATATTTACAATAGAGGGAATATGAAAAAATAACCTTAAAAAGGATAGGTTACCTGGAATTAGTTTTCTCCGGGCCATAGCAGCAGCTCTGTGGGATTCATATTCAACAAATGCAAAACCACGATTTTTAGTCTTATCAGTTGCACTTGGATAAACAATGACATCTACAACTCCTTCTGTAACTTTCTTCATTTCATCCAAAATTTCTTCTTTCTTCTTTTCCTTGGGAATAGCTCCAATAAATAATCTGCAATTATCCAAGCTTACACATACACCAATAAACTTCCCTGGTCGAATCTCATAATTATTAAGAATTCTGATGGCTAACTGGGCTTCTTCTTTTGTAGTGTACATGACAAAAGCATAACCTCGATTTTCACCACTAAATTCCATCATAAGTCGAAATTCATATATCTTCCCAGCTCTTTCAAATACAGGGACTAACTCATCTTCATACATATCACGAGGTATTTTTCCTACAAAAACTTCACAGCCTCTAGGTGGAGGTGGACCTTCCCAACCTGAAAAACAAAAATACAGATAAATTTTAATAAGATATTTATATTCACCATTCATTCATTGCACAAATGCACAGAGAGCTTTCTTTGTATTATGCACTATTCTAGGTGCTGGAGGATCCAAGAGTGAACAAAACAGAAACCTCTTCCTTTGTGAAGCACATATTCAATACAGAAAGAAGACTGAGTAGTAAGTGCTATAAAAATACAGCCACAGAAGGGTTAAGTTTTTGTAGTCAGGTAAATCTTCTGTGATAACATTTAAGTTTAAGCAGATACCTCAATGAAATGAGAGAATGAGCTCTGAGGATATATCAGGAAGAAGAAAAAGCAAATGCTTTGTATATTAGAACTCAGAACACACAGGCTATATGGCTAACATGTACTTGAGGGAGGAGTAAAGTGGTAGGTAAAGTGGTCATCAATGTAACTAGAAGCCAAGATTTCATTTTAAGTTTGATAGGAAGTTAATTGGAGGGTTTTGAGCAAAGAAAATGCATTAGCTATTGGTAGAAAAACAAAACATTATATCTAACCAGAGGCTCATGCATGAAATTCATTCATTGGGGGAGAGGAGTCCCATCAGCCCAGCCTGCATCCTCTTCCAGTCCGAGAGCCCTCGAGGGATGTCTGACTGATGGCTTAGGCCTACTCCCCACAGTCGGACATTCTTGGGACTGCTGAAGAGGTGGGAGAAGTTCTCACCATAGCCACTGCACTCGCCAGCCATAAGCCTGGCTTCTGGCTGAGTGGTGCTCCCCGTGGGAGTGCACTGACCACCAGGAAGGTAGTTCCTGCACTGAGAATCTGTCCCTTGGTGGTCAGTGTGCGTCATAGTGACCGGTCATTCCACTGTTCGGTCCATTTGCATATTAGCCTTTTATTATATAGGATTATCTGTTTGCATCTGATTTAAATCTAGCATAGACACCACTCCTTCCTCTACTCACTGATCTTTCAAATTCCTCCCAAAGACCTCCCCTTTAATTTCTAGAGTACCCTTTTCCAAAGTGACTCAATCCTGACTTCTTTTCAAACCAACCTAATTTCTTTCTCAACTGCTTCTTAATGCAAGAGAATTAAAAACTGTAATGGTAAAACATGCCTAACATTATAAAATTTACCTTCTCCCTTACATTAAAAATTGTTCTGCCCTAGTCAGTTTGGCTCAGTGGATAGAGCAATGGCCTGTGGCCTGAAGGGTGAAGAGTACATACCTTAATTGCAGACTCTATCCCCAGCCCTGGTCAGAGCACATGCAGGAGGCAACAAATCATTGTTTCTTTCTCTGTGTCTCTTCCCCTCCCCTCTACTCTCTCTAAAAAATCACTAGAAAAATATCCTTAGGTGAGGAGTAACAAAAAAAATGTATTGTTAAGGTCTAAAAGCAGTTACAAAAAATAGAGCTACTGTTTGGGATACTTGTAAAGATATATACATAACGAAAATGACTACACTAAAGCTTCAATTTTTTTTTTTTTAACATAAACAAATCCACACCTGGAGGAGGACCACCAAATTTCCTTTGCCCATTTTCTTGAACCATGTTGTAACCAGTCTTTTCCATCAGAGCAAGTAATGCTGCTTCATTCTGCGTACCAGTTCGGACTTTACTGCATCCATTTGTGCCATCTATATTTTCTTCATTCATGGCTGCAGTTCCTAAAACAAAGTATTAAAAAACAGTGATTATGACATGGAGTATCAGTAATCTATGAAGCATTACTTTAAGATGCAAGAAGCCAAGGATAGTTATGGCTGCTACATTTGGTGACCACTGTAGTCCTGCCCCTCTTTCCCACCCTCCACCCCCCAAAGTTCTCTACAAGGAAGCTGCAAACTTTTAATGTCAATTAAGCAGTACCTTTACAAGGCCAATGCTACAAGAAAGGTAGGTGAAAGTGAAAAAGAGAAAAATAAAAGGAACAACAAAAACAAGAATGGGTAAACAGAAATAAGTGAGATTTGGAAAAGGAAAAAGAAAGCAGTAGGAGTAACAAAATAAAAATACTGCTGTCAATGAATATATGATCTATCCATATAGCTCAAAGTTTAAATCTTGTCCCATTATCTTAAGCTTCTACTACAAATCAAAACTAATGGGGGAAACCAGTAAATTTATTTTTTAAATCTTAGAATAAAAAAGACTTCTAAAAAATAAACAGAAAAACTCAAAGGAACATATCTGAAAAGCAAACACACACACACACACACAAAGAAAATTATAAACAGAGCAAAATGACCTGCAATACATATAATAGAAGGCTTATTTCCTAAAATTAAAAAAAAAGCAGGATATAGTATAATTTAGAGCAAACTCAGGTTACTAAATGACTGCTTAAATGTGAAACCTAGTTCTTTCCCTTACCAGCTGTGATTCTGGGCAAGTTTGGCCTCAGTCTACTTGCCTCTAAAAAAATGGATTATAATGGTTTCTACCTCACAGGGTTGTTGTCAGGATTGTGCATAAAGGGCTTAAAATAGTATTTTGCACCTGGCCAGTATTGCTCAGTAGCTGAGCATCAACCCATGAACCAAGAGGACACCAGTGCGATTCCCAGTCAGGGCACTGCCTGGGTTTCAGGCTCAGTCCCCAGTAGGGAACATGCAAGAGACAGCTGATGTTTCTTCTCTCATGGATGTTTCTGTCTCTCTATCCCTCCCCCTTCTCTCTCTCAAAAATCAATAAAAACATATTTTTAAACATACAGTATTTTGCATATATGCACTATAAATGTATTAATATATAATAAAACAACATATGATGTTCATTTTTGATAAAATGATATTGTTAAATCTAATAATAATAAAAGGATAATATGCTAATTAGACTGGACATCTTCTGGATGTCATTTCTGATGTCCTTCCTGATGAAGCCAGGGCTGGAGGGAAGCCAAGGTCCTGTCCAGGTCCCAGGTGCCAAAGGGAAGCTTGTGCCCACAGCTGGGAGAAGAAAGGCCTACTCTTGCATGATTTTTCTTGGATCGGGCCTCTAATAAATTACTAAAGTAATAAGAAAAGTACAAACTGTAGAACAGGGACTTCAAACTCAAATTCATTCACTTGTTCAACAAATGTTTATTAAGCATCTACTGTACGCCAGGAACTAATCTTTTATCTAGGAAATAGTAAATGAAAGACCAAAATTCCTCTCTTATGTAACTACTACTCCAGTGGAAAAAGCAAATGATAATAAAAGCAATAAATAATATATGTTAAGAACAGTTAAATAGTAGAGGGAAAAAGAACAGGGATAACACACATAGGGTGAGCGGGGAGGTTGGTAGGAAAAGAAAGGGTGCAATTTTAAAAAGGATAACCAGTACAGGCCTCACTAAGAAAGTAATATTTGAGTAAAGAAATAGGGAACCTAGACATGCCATTATTTGGAAAAAGAATTCCACATAAATAGAAAAATGATAATAAAAGACCTAAAAATGGAAGTGTGCATTGAATATATAAAGTATAGCAAGGGAACAGTATGGTACAGCCAGGGGAAGAACATTAAAAGATGAATTCAGTGAGGTAACAAGCTGCCACATCACACAGACTTCAGCTTTTATTCTAAGTCAAATGAAGAGCCACTATAGATTTTGAGCACAGGAATAATAGATCTTTCATTTTAAAAGAATCATCTGGCTATTGTACTGAGAAATCAGTAATAAAGGTGGAAGCAGAGATCAATTAGAAAACTATGACCAAAATTCAGGGAGAGATGTTGGTGTCATAGACCAGGGATGTTGTGGTGGAGGTAGAAAGTAGTTCCTCATATGACAGGTATTTTAAAGGCATATTCAATAGAATTTCCAGACAGATTTAATATGGATTTTGAGATAAACAGAATAAGTCAAGAATAATACCAAAGTTCTAGCCTAAGCAATGAAAAAGTACTGAGGAAGGTTGAGATGGGAAAGATTATAGGGTAAGTTCAGAACTCAGTTATAGACACATTAAGTTTGAGTATCCATAAAAAGATCATCTCAAATGCCTTACAAGGCCCTGACAAGAAATGTCAAATGAGTGGAAAGGCAAAATACAACACTCCAAGGTGTGCTATGGACTGTACTTACTTAATTAGAACGTCCATGTATCATCAGAAAAGGGCAGTGGCTACTTAATTTTAGCAAACTACTAAGAGGAAATCCAGTTTGCCTAGTTATGCCAGTTTCCAATTTTATAAGAGAAGCCAGAAATCTGCATATTTTTATGTGAAATCTATTTTTAAAATTTGAGAGCCAGAGACCTGCATGCACATACTACAACTGCATAGCTACATAAATGGCATTTACATGTTCACACTCACAGGCACAAAAATGTAATGACCAAAACTTAATCTGGTGGAAAATCATGTTTATACTTTAGTCCAGGATATATTTAGTTCCACATCTTAATTCAAAACTTAATGGGTCAAATTTCACAATTCAATTCAATTCTACACAGATTTACTGAATGTTTCCCTTGTTTCGTCATTTAACTGGATTTTCAGTCATATTGCTAACCATAAGGGGTAGAACTACAACCACAAGTGGAGAGCACCTGGGACAAAGTATGCCTCAATATAACTTTCTACTAAGCAGAGAGGACTGTATAATATTGGAAAGGGCTGCCACAGACAGAAGCTTCCTGCCAAAATAAAAGCATTCAAACATGGACAGGACAGCAGAAACCAGTTTGGCTCAGTGGACTGAAAGGTCCCGGGTTCGATTCCGGTCAAGGGCATGTACCTTGGTTGCGGGCACATCCCCAGTAGGGGGTGTGCAAGAGGCAGCTGATCGATGTCTCTCCCTCATAGATGTTTCTAACTCTCTATCCCTCTCTCACTTCCTCTCTGTGAAAAATCAATAAAATAAAAAATAAAAATAAAAATGAAGTAATTTGTGTCAAATCATTCAAACTAATTAAATTGAAACTTCATCTTCTGAATGACTATAAAAATGTATGAAGTTGTGAAAATGGACACAGTAAGTTTTACTATAATTTAAAAAAAACTGAACACAATATTAAAAACATTAATGTTTTAAAGTATCAGAACACTTTTATAGAAAGTACATGAAATCTTTATGGCATTCCTTAAATTACATGGTATTAAAATGCAGATTTGTTAGTTCAGTTGTTATTGAGTATTGTACACGAGGTCATGGTTGCCAGGTCAATGGATATTTTTTTTAATGGCAGCTCATTTTAATGACAGATTGCACTATAGCAACATGGTTGGAAAATGGAAAGATTTGGTTAAAAGTATAATGATGCGTAAGTCTAACACTTCAAAATAAGAGGTGTTGATGGATCAGTTAAATTCCTTTTAAAATTATTTTTATTAAAGAATGAGAACATATTTTTATTCTTATAAATTAAACATATATATGTAGCATATAAAAAGTTTTAGTATCAGGTTGAGGGAAGGTTTAAATTTAAAAATATTTTTAAAAATTTAACTATTTTATAAGATAATTGTAACCAATTTTAAAAAAAATATTGCTTAGAGACGAAACCGGTTTTTCTCAATGGATAGAACATTGGCCTGCGGACTGAAAGGTCCCAGGTTCAATTCCAGTCAAGGGCATGTACATTGGTTGTGGGCACATCTCCAGTAGGGGGTGTGCAAGAGGCAGCTGGTCGATGTTTCCCTCTTATCGATGCTTCTAGCTCTCTGTCCCTCTCCCTTCCTCTCTGGAAAATCAATAAAATATATTTAAAAAAATATTGCTTAGAAAACAAAAGTATAATGCTCTTTGTACTTAGGATAAAGGTAGACCATAGAACCAAAAATTATTGTATTCAACAGAATAGTGTATACTACTATCCCTTACATAGTTTTCTATAGTCTGTCATCAAAAATCTGATAAAATTTGAACATAGATATATTTTTTCACTGTTTTTCTTGTTTAACCAACTATTGGGTAGTAAATTGAAATGAAAAACAATATCTGGCACTACAAATCTTACACCAATTATGTAATTTGTATCACAAACCCTACCTAAACTTACATGTCTACGTTTCCTAGCAACAAAAAAGACACCATTAAAAAAAAAAAAAATGAGGCTTAATATCAGCCCATAAGTTATAGTCTTTTGAGTTCTTACCTCATAATATGTCCAGTAATACATATTTCAAGTGTTTATACCTATTATAATAATTGGCAATAATGTTGGAAGTCCTTAAGTGAAGATTAGTAATTAAAGCAGTGTCTTACACAGAAGTTAAGGTACTGCTAATAGTAATTGCACCACTAATAGTCATCTTCATATCTATAATGGCATATAGTTTCAAACAAACTAATTTTAAAATGGAATGTTTTAAATGTGTACCCTGGCAGGAATTTATTACAGCCCATTAAGATGCTTTAATTCTGCAAGGCTCCAAATGTAAGTTTGTTCAACTCCTGGTGATGCTTGAAATGAAAATATTTTCCGTTATTTAAATATATTCTGTTATTTAAATAAGCAAAATTCTACCGACATGTGAATATATTATTTATATATGTGTTATACATGCAACATACCCTGCTTCCTGGTTTTAATGCTTTACTTTGTATAATGCTATACAGAGGGGAAAATCAGTAAGAAAGGCCAAGACTAAACGCTCCTGCTGATATACCCTCTTCACTGGCCTTAGCAGAATCACCATATATTATAAAAGCCATAGAGTATTTATCAAGAATA